ATCATAAACGAAACTTACAACAAACATCTTTGTGAGTGAGTCACTGAGGCTGACCTGTGAGGGGTATGTTTAAGATATGTGCATTTAGAAACATAAATAGATATGGCACACATTTCAATTTCTTGATCTGGAGGTCTCGAAAAAATATGATGCCTTTCTTTACTGATAATGTAAGGACGTTTACTGCATTTTTCTGACGGATAGTTTTATTGATGCCTTGATTCATGTCACCAGAATGTCTATTCCTAGTAGCATTGGACTCAGTTGGAATGTGAACATTACTTCTATTATACAGGACTGTCTGCTCAATGGGGGAATACATCCTGACAGTCCAGCGTATTTCAGGTCCGTGACCAGTATGGACAAACCAAAGAGCATCAGTGATTTCAACCCAGCTCAGCATTGTTGTTTGATGTACCCTGATGTATTGTATTCCCAGAAATTATTGAGAAAGTTGTTTCGGCAAATATCTAATACATGTAAGTAAACTTTAGAGGTTTTATTTAAATGAATATGTTGAGATATGATTCTCTTACAGTCTTAGTGTCTTTTCAACACTTTGTGAGACCTCCTTGCCGTGCAATACAAGACTAAATGCGCCTAGGTACACTACCGATCAAAGTTTGTAGGAAATCGTGTGACAGCCTATCGACCACTTCTTTCTTCATATCCTCAATGTTTCTACGCCTTTTTTGGTTTATTTTCAATGGGTTTAAGATCTGGGCCTTAGCTGGGTCAGTCTAACACCTGAACATTTTCGTCCGACAACCACCGTTTTGTGTAGCCCGCAGTGCGTTTTTGGTCGTTATCATGCAATTATTTTCATTCAGTGTTCGGGCCGTTGGAAGGAGGTCACCATTTAAGATCTCAACATATTGTTCCAGTTCAAATTTCCAGTGAAAATACACAGCGGTGTCACTCCACGATATTCCACCCCAAATGTGAAATTTCGGGCTATGCTTTGGGCGTTGGTAGATAGTTTTTTCTTTCGTCCATATTTTCACACAGTTTGGAAAAAAAACAACCAGACAGAACTTTCATCAGAAAGGATTGTCGTGAGCCCTACACTAGTTTTAACGTCTTTCGTTTTGTGCATCTTTCATGGATGGTGAGGGAATTCCGGTTTTTGCACTCGGGTAAGTCTTTCTAATTCTTGTCTAATGGTTTCATTACATACCTGACTACGGCTTCTATTAATCATCTCATTTCTGATATTCTCAACGCTTTTTAAGTTTCCCCTACTCACAATCTGACCAATTCGCCGGCGATCCGTATTCCTGAACTTCCTTGGCCTCCCTGACCCTGTCTTGTGCTCAACCCCAACTCCTGACTGAATATTCTTCAAAGTTCTGTATACTGTAGACAGAGGATTGTCATGTCCATGAGCTAACTCTTCTGCATTAGTCACAACCCTTTCAAAATCATCTAGAACCAGCTGTCTTTTCTCTTCTGCTGTCAAATCTGCCATTTCTACAAAGGAAGCCGTCTGCTACACCAGGGGAGATAACTCTTCATGTAGTAAGGTTCATTCGTAAGCCTACAAGAGTTGAGGGTGGTGGTGGTGGTGTAATTAATTTTGTACATGACAAGCATGGGGGTCACTTACTTTGTGCATAAATGTGAACGGTCCCTTAAGTGATGTCGCTGAACATGTATCATTCCTATAAGTATGTGGTACCTTAAAGCATAAGCATGTGCATAGTGACCAATTGAAGAGAGACACTAGCATGACTAATATCTTATGTCGTGTCAACTACAAATGATAATTGAATCAAACAAGACTGAACTGGATTGAATTTTTTCTATTTGGAATCTCATAAAGTTCAAGTTATGTTAAAGCATCTAATTTTTTCAGGAAATATGGAATCGAAAAACCTTCCATTCCATGGGCGAGTTGTTATTAACTTGGTGACTTCCAATATAATTACGTCTCAAATTTCATTGGTTCAAGACAATTTTGCAAAACCTAAAGGAAATTTACTGAAATTCGTCTGAATTTTACTGTAAAAATGAAAATAAAATAAACTGCTGAAATGAACAGGATATGTGCACTGTTTTGGCGAACATAATTTTCACCACTTTTTGTCTTTTACATCAGCGGATTGTGTGTCCTTGGAGAATTGAGGTTGGTTATTCTCGGTCGTTGACGTGTCATGATATGATTTGTAAAATGTAGTGAAAGGAAATTTAGGCAGGAACTAGGTAATATCCCCATGGGAATCGATTGTACTCCCCTTCTTGCTGATAATTTTCTTGAAGTACATCAACTGAAATCCCGGCATTTGCAGTTTGGCAGAAACGTAAGGTTGAGTAACAATCCCGTAGTGTTATTATATACGATTCGTCTTCAAATGTAATCGATCAGGGGCTTATATCATTTAAGCCGTTACTAAGATTTGAAAGTGGTTTTTGGTACACAATTTCCAGATTTGACTATAAATGACAAATGTAGTTACTTACTATATTTAATTGTACCTTATTGTATTTGATGTCGTCAGCACTTATAAGGGATTCATAAACACAACAATATCATAGTAAATAGTCGGAATCGCACAATAGCTTCCAATCGAGATTTCACACGAGCACAAAAGAAATATATTCATATTGAAAAATTATAAATAGAACAGTAAAAATATATATAAAGGTAACAGGACATTATGGTTCGAAACCTAAGTGCATGTTTATTTTGCGCGGTATGCGCTTTTGCTTGGGGGCCGAAGAGTGGCCTCCCGTGAGACATGGAAAAACGCTGGAGAAAAACACATGGGCGGCTCGGCGCTAAACCCCAAACGAAAAAGGTATCACGGATTTATTTATTAGTTGCATGTAGGAAAAACAGAAAACCAAACAGAACATACCTCACTGTATTTCCTGCAAATAAACCCTCGAAATAAATCTTTCTGTTCTTTCACGAACAATTATTGTGTATTAGTAGACTGACTACTCTGGTATGGCTAAAATAATGTTCATGAACATAGTATTAGCAGTATCACAAATTCAAATGTGTTTCCTTGTTAAAAAATGAATCTATGATATAAATTGGAGATTGGACATGTTTTTCCATAATTACCTGAAAGCACATGGAATAGTTTTCAGGAAATCACACAGAGACAAAGCCAAAATATTTATGTAGAACCATATATTTTTCTGAGGCAGTGTTATACCTTGTGAGACGATGGTTTAACTGTTATACATGGTACCTGGAGATTCAGTAACGGACAGTAAAGAACCTATTCCAGAGAGGTATATAACGGGAGCTAACTCTTGCTTCTCATCTCACATTAGAACTTAAGCCACAAGAAGACCATCATTGTTTGTGATGATCACACCCTGGACACTCTCTGCCCTGTCTTCCAAGTTGGATCACTGTTGATGAGAGATGAATATAACCAGCACTGTTTGTGATGATCACACCCTGGACACTCTCTGCCCTGTCTTCCAAGTTGGATCACTGTTGATGAGAGATGAATATAACCAGCATTGTTTGTGATGATCACACCCTGGACACTCTCTGCCCTGTCTTCCAAGTTGGATCACTGTTGATGAGAGGTGAATATAACCAGCATTGTTTGTGATGATCACACCCTGGACGCTCTCTGGCCTGTCTTCAAAGTTGGATCACTGTTGATGAGAGATGAATATAACCAGCATTGTTTGTGATGATCACACCCTGGACACTCTCTGCCCTGTCTTCCAAGTTGGATCACTGTTGATGAGAGATGAATATAACCAGCATTGTTTGTGATGATCACACCCTGGACTCTCTCTGCCCTGTCTTCCAAGTTGGATCACTGTTGATGAGAGATGAATATAACCAGCATTGTTTGTGATGATCACACCCTGAACACTCTCTGCCCTGTCTTCCAAGTTGGATCACTGTTGATGAGAGATGAATAACCAGCATTGTTTGTGATGATCACACCCTGGACGCTCTCTGCCCTGTCTGCCAAGTTGGATCCAAGTTGGATCACTGTTGATGAGAGAGATGAATATAACCACCATTGTTTGTGATGATCAAACCCTGGACACTCTCTGCCCTGTCTTCCAAGTTGGATCACTGTTGATGAGAGGTGAATATAACCAGCATTGTTTGTGATGATCAAACCCTGGACACTCTCTGCCCTGCCTTCCAAGTTGGATCACTGTTGATGAGAGGTGAATATAACCACCATTGTCTTTATTGGTATGGTCACTGCTCTTGTGATGATTTACCTTTGAATTTGAGCTGCCACACTGTTTTGTACTGCCATTGTGATGCCTTTGTATTGATTTGTAAATATGTATAATTTGCGTTGTGCCTCAACTCAGTGGGTGAATGTTTAATGCTGTTGTCAGCTAACAGCAACATTCAAGCTATGTCTCTTCTGACTGCATTGTGACTGAAGAGTGTTAGAAAGTAAGAGTAAATATTCAGACAGAACGACCACATGAAGTCAACAAACACAATAACCACGTGAATCCTTACTGTCATCTGAACAACAATTGCTCTGGACCGACCATGACCACATAGGAAAACCGTTATGCAGTCTGCAGTAAAGTAGTCCATATCCAATCTCTTGCTGATTCTTCAGTGTCAAAACAATCAAGGATCATTCTTATAATGTGAATTTTCATTTAATAATTGTTTGTTTTTAAAGAAATAAAATTATTAGATAATGTTTTAACAATATGTTTTGTAAGTAGAAGATTGGTATTTTATCAGTGCGATTGTTACTGGCTGTATCCTCAAAGGGGGTTAAAGTATCGTAACATTATATTGTCCTATTGAGAGGGTACGTAAGTCCCAAAACTATCAAAGACAGTTTAGCTCTACCAAGCTTTTTAATCGTAGAAGATTTTTTTTTCTTCAAAAATTTGGCTCAGTTTTCCGACCATCGCCAGCCGCTGAAGGGATGGTGTAAATCCAGCTATGGTCCATGCAGGTAGCAAAGTTACTGCAAGTCCCCATGGGCCCTAGTATGGTGATCTACCTTCAGTTGTTGGCGATCTATAGTCCGTTTTTACATTGTATTGTCCAGAAAAAATGTAAAGATGTAGGTGTAAGTGGAGCAGTGGGTGCAGATGTAGATGTAGGTATAGGTGTAGAGGTAGGTGTCGGTGTTTGTGAAGGGTTGGGTGTAGGTGCAGGTGTTGGTGATGGGGTAGGTGCAGGTATGAGTGAAGGTGTAGGTGTAGGTGCAGGTATGGTTGAATGTGCAGGTGCAGGTGTAGATGAAGGTGTAGGTGTTGGTGCAGGTGTAGGTGCAGGTGATGGTGCAGGTGTAGGTGTAGGTGTAGGTGATGGTGCAGGTGTAGGTGTTGGTGCAGGTGTTGGTGCAGGTGAAGGTGTAGGCAAAGGTGAAGGTGATGGTATAGGTATAGGTGTAGATGCAGGTGCAGGTGCAGGTATGTGTAGGTGAAGGTGAAGGTGAAGGTGAAGGTGTAGGTGTAAGTGGAGAAGTGGCTGTAGGTGTAGGTGTAGAAGTAGATGAAAGTGAAGGTATACAAAAATTGAATGATGAGTTCTGGGGCTGACATAGATGCAGTTGATCCCAATGCATAACAAATATGATTTTTCAAAGTGATCCCTGTTGCTTCAACACTAGGTAACGACACTATATGCCAATGATGTTGAATAGGATGTTGTTCTGGTTTCGGGACGAGCGACGCTTTAACTGAACTACCCACCGCTGATTCCATTCAGCGTTGCTGTCATATCAATGGACCACTTGAAATAAAGTCCATGAAATAATGTGTAACGTTCACACTACGTGGAGCTATCTTCATGTTCTGATGGAAAGATATGGCACATATCCATATAGTGAAGCCTGGCTGCACTTGGCTGGAAAAACACATCAATAGTCACCAAACGCACCATACCAATGAACATGTTTATGCACACACTTCTCGTAAAATCCAACATGCCGAATTGTCACTTTGGGTATAAGACTTCACATATTTCAACAGTGCACGCTTAACTCATCCAGGCTATCAGACGCGGGCTGGACACTGCCCAAAATGAACGTATGGGATACAACGCTACTTTCCTCGGAGCGGTCGTCCAAGGGTCAACCCCTCGACAAGATCGGCACATTACCCAGCAACACCAGCGAGATCCGTTCTTGTCACCCCTTACGTCATGTTCGAAATGAATACCTGTTAATATTAATACACAAATACAAAATGTATTCAGTCATTTTGTTTCAGGAGCTCTTTGAATTAAACTTGATGAGTGACATAATACATGTCTTCATGTTAATCTCAATTACTGCAATACCACTGGAATTACAATGACAATGAAAGAATTCAATTTTATGCTACCTTCTCCACCTCATGTAATCTTACGTAGACTAGTCCAATCAAGGATGATCACATGGATTTGATTGTGTCAAGTTAGGCCTACTGTTGATTAACGAAGTTGACATTTATGTTAGAATTGTGTATGCCCTGAAACATTCCCATCACGGACACAATTGAAGAACTTTGCAAGTGTGAAGAGGGCTTAGATGATGAAACAGTGGCACCAGCACGAGAATCGACATGTTGGTGATCAGACCCCTGCAAAATGGCCGAGTACGACCTCTTCTGTATACACTGCTGGATTCGGTGCAGTATGATTTTGAACTTTAAACTCGATTCCGGCATGGGAAAGCAGATTGACGGCTGTTGTGCAAAGGCAGTGATTTGTGTACGTATGTGGAAACTTGGTATTGTTCGAGATGTATTTCAACATTTGTGACAGTGAATGTTTGCCAACTCACCGTGAGGTGTAGGAAGGTGTTCCCTATTCTCGCGGTACTTACGGATATCGGCTGAAAAAATAACACAAACAATTCGTATCGTATTCATGCTTGTTGTATTAAAATGAAGGGCCTTCTCCTCTAACATCTACATCTATCAGCTGCCAGATCGATCAGGTGAATTACCACTCGTGAGCCCGGTGATAAACAATACGATCCGCCATTGACGAAACGAGGCTTCTCCCATTCTCGCGGTATTAGCAATCCTGCCGGAAAGGGCGGGAAAAAGTAATGATATGTCCAAGTTGGTATAAACTCCCCAATATTCGTGACACTGCAAGATTTTGATCACTTACAGTCTTGGTCCACTTCCTAGTTACCAGTCGGTGTTGTAAACTGACTGACTGACTGAATTTGGTTTTACGCCGCTTTAAGCAATATTCCAGCAACATCACGGCGGGGGACACCAGAAATGGGCTTCACAAATTGTACCCATGTGGGGATTCGAACCCGGGTCTTCGGCATGACGAGCCAACGCTTTAACCACTAGGCTACCCCACCGCCCCCGGTGTTGTAAACAACCGGTAAGTGTCGCGCATCGGCGATTTCGGCAGAAAACGTGTTTACCGCGAGAATAGGAAACCCGCGAGAATGTGAGACGGACCTATACCAAACAGAATCGCGGATATCGACGACAAATTTTGGATGTTGAAAGAACAATTCGTTATTGGGATTCATACGATTTGAAGGATGAAACCGGACACAAAAGGTAAGATTTCAACATTTTTAATTGTTTTTATATGCTTGGGCTTGGGCTTGTATCAGTGGGATTTCCTAGACTGCATTAGATCTACGATACCTATTCATGATAACCGATTGGTATTTATTTTTTGCTATTTTAGTATATCATGATATTATCATTCAGTGTTAGATCAGATGTAAATCATGTTGAAAGCTGTTTTTTTAGAAATGATAGCTATGTTTACTTATATTCCGTTGATAATTGTGTTTAGAAGCCGTGTGGCAGTCTAGTGAAAGGGAGGTAACTAACATGCAAGTTCCTTTGGGCTTGTTTACAAAATGTTAAACGTTGCACACCTCTGAAGAGTTTTACGCCCCAAATTGTATTTCTCTCAGTTGCTTTCAATAATGACCCATCAATTATTTCCCTTAGGCCATTCTCATCAACCTTAGCAAAGCGGGACTGTGGAGGGACGCTCGGTGGACAAGATGGAGCTGGGTCAGCGTTAGCGCTGGAATTACCAGTGGAAGTGGAAACGTCCGGAGTGCTGGGATTGGTGTATTTTGGAAGATCAATATCCAGAAACAAGTATCATTAACTTATTCTTTGGCTGAATAATAATTTTTAAACTTGGAATATTGAACCAAATGAAATACACGAATGCTTGAAATTTGCAGAGCAGTTCATTTGTGAATAACATCATTGAACAATGTTGAAGGGTATTATTTTATGGCTCTTCAATCACTTTACTATTATCTGATCACATATGACTATGTGCCATGTGATTGTATACACCTGTCACCATCATCTTTGAATAATTCTTCCAAGACTTTGTCATCTTCAAAGATTGTATCAAAATCCCAGGGAAAGAAATTGAGGTGATAATGTTCCTCCATTATGCAAATTCATGCAGCGAAAGTAGTACGGTATTAGTGCCAACGTATTAATGTGCGGTTATTAGGCCATCATTTTCAGGTATGTCGAACACTATTCGACAAGGATAATTAACCAATCAGATTGTGGAAAAAAACTCACTATTGGTTTACAATCATATATGTGTTTTTTCACAACAATGTATGGTGTGCTTCTTAACCCAATGAACCGAATTTCGCACATCATTATTATATTCTTGAATATAGGGTCAGGAAATTCTCAGTTCCAAGACACTAAGGAGAATTGTCCATATCTTTAGCTGTTTTGGCGTCCGTCTTCTTGTGCCATGCTTCCACGTCGTCCACGGTTTGCGGGAGTTCTCTCCCCATCGTCTCTGGCAGGACGTTCACGAGGAGGGTAGCTAGGAGACAGCACACTCCGAAGATGGTTCCAGGGGCCCACTCCACGTGTTCAGCCTGCATTTATGCGAACAAATACGGTATTTCAATCTAAACTGGCTTCAATGGTGCATAAAACGTCCCTGTGCTGATTTCAAATGCAAACCCCGCCAACCCCACCCGGACTTGGTGGATGCATGTCATCGTATCCCAGTTGTTCAGATTCAATTTCAATACCAAGGAATGTTCAGGAAAAGGACTAGTTATATAGTCGTGTAGAAATCGTTGGAATCGTGCTAAAATCGGTTTAGAACCTTAGTAACTCCGTGAAACATAACTGAGCTGTATCGAACAGTAACAAACAGCGAACTGCGATCTGTGCGAATTTACTAGTTTGATACTGCACAAGGAATAATGATGATACAACTAAGCGTTAACGTTGGATCTGGTCATACTTACAAGGAGACTCGAGAAAGGAGCCAACATCCCACCAAGCCGAGAACAGGCAGACGAAGTCCCCAGTCCAACATTTCTGAAATAAGTTACTTTGTTGTTTTCATGTAAGTGAATTAAATTATTGTGAAATTATGAATAATTAACAAACAATAATGTTGAACTAGGTGTTCGCGAAATGTGTACACTGAAACAGCATTGCCTCTCTCCAAATGTTGGGATATGTTCCAGTATCACGTAATTTACATTGATACAATTTAATTGAAAGAGCCCCAAATAAATGTATGAATAGGTACTGCACATAGATGTGATCATTTCAAAGAAGACTGACCTCAGATTCGTTGGAAACATTTCTGGTGTGAAGAAGAAGGACGTTCCCCATGCTCCCGCCGCCCCGAACATCCCGATACAAGAGAAGGCTGTGACAGCAATCGGAGACCATGAGCTGCCTTCTGGAACCAGGGTGTATGACGTGTTAGAAAATCCAGAGTGCTGTACCATAAAGACCACTAACATACTGAACATAACAAATTATATTGCTGGGTAAAAGTGTGTATATGGGTGATTGAGAGTTCAACGCTCAATTACACAATATTGCTGTTATAAATCCTCATTGGCGGACTTCATGAGCACGGGTATTGTGCTGACACACTTACATTATCAGTAAAATAAGGAATTCAAATCCATGAACAGAAAGTTTTGGCATGCCAAGGAACTCTGGTTCGTTATATATAATATATATTGTACAGTACCTTGTTTGGTGCTTTACCCTGCAGAATTATCAAATGTTTGCTCTTTTCATCTAACAGACCTTATTATATTTCACCAAAATTGGAAACTTGACACCAACAGTATTGATAATAACTGTGAGGAGGCAATTCTTTTTAGTTTCTTGTAGCGCCATACACATGGCAATGACGCATGTCCCCTTTAAACATGTTCATAGAAGGCAAAGTGAAACGTTTGGTCATAAAACGTGAAAAATTGTGAAACAAAATTACGTGTAGCGTGTCACATAATTACCTTAGCGATTGCGCGTGCATTGGAATGCAAGCACATCAGTATTGCTAAACAGGAATACACATGGAAAATCCATTGTTAATAAAAACAGCATGCTTCGACTAATAAAACATCAATTTGAGCGCGCCGTGGGTAGCATTAATGCTGGATAGTCCGTTGCAGAAGTTGCACGAGCCTTGGACCGTAGTCGTCTAAAACTACAGTCTGAGGGCCCGTCTGCAAAAAAAAGGACACTGTTATAGGTCTTCCCCCCGGCCTTGGGCGTCATACCAACATGAGGTAATAAAAAACAGCATACGTCATCTCTGGAACAAATTTGTGAAACAACCTCCACATGCAGACTGATCAGAGGGAGAATGTCAGCGCAGACCATCAGGAATCGACTGCGAACGTCATGCAATATTTTTCTCATAACATGATGCCGCAATCCACTAATTTTCGTTGGTATTGTTACCTGGATGACAACAGCATGCTACAGATCTATCTTCATAATCATGCACACACGTCTATTGTGGAAATCAGGTTATCAAGTGTTAAGTTTTGAAATTCGTACAGAATAAATATCGATTTCATTACTTACTGCCTACAGATTTGCAGACTGTTGCCGCAAGCAGAGCAATACCAGCGGTGCCATGTAGAGTCATGCTTGTCTTCTTGCGACCATATCTGTCAAATATAACAAAGTAGCATTTATATATAGTGCACGAACACCTGAGTCAATCTACACCTGTTTCATTTCAATAATTGGAAAAGGTAGCAACAGGCGTTAGCTTCAACAGATTGAAGAGAACGGTGTCTCACCGTACACTAATATCATTCATTTTAATCAAACTTTGAGTTACTAATTTTCTTGGTCCAGACTCGATTACCAGTAGGTCGTCCAGAATATAGTTGACTAAGGCATTTCACAATTCACTCATTAACTCTTCCTCTTTTATCGTTAAATGTTGTAGTATGAATATGGAGGTAGGTTGTGGCCCTTAGCATGAAGTTAAAACCTTATCGCACACAGTGTACAGCCATCAGGGTTACTCTGCCACTTAAGCATGGTGGATACTCCACACAGATACCGTCGCATATAGCAATAAAGACACCGAAACAGATCGGTTTGATGAGAGGAGAAAGCTCAATGTAGGTCTATTCCTCTTTGATGCAACCCCAGAACACGATTTTGATAATGGTAAACCGAATGCATACGTATATGTGTGCATTAAAGTCTTTGAACCAGCACGTCAAAGAGGCGAAACTCTGCACATATACCGTGCTACCAGTGTTCCATTCAGTGAAGGTACACGTACACGTACATAATTCATTCATGATGTCAGGGAAGAGTGTACCTGTCGACCATGAAGTAGAAGACAAGAACTGACGGAGCCTCAAGGAGAGAGTAAAGCACGAAATTGACGTGGGGGCTGCCAGCGAGAGAATGGGACATCATGAATAGTCCAAACACTGTTAAACTGTCTGTTATCCTGAAACACATACACTGGCATCACAACAAACATCACAAACGAGCATTACAAGAGACATATTTATGAATGAGGCACTGTGACTCGAGAAAAATCCTTTGTGAGATATGTACATTTAGAAACACCAATAGAAGTGACACACATAACAGTGTTTTAGATCCGGAGGACTTGATAATTACGATGACTCTCATTACGTTATATGTATGGATTCAAAAGTGTAGGGCCATCTTTCTGGCAGATAGCTTATTGATAACTTGGTTAGGTCACCAATATATCTGTCACGTGTTGGCTATTCCAAGCTGCAGGTGACACAGTTAGAGGTTGAACATTGACATGAATTTGTTCATTCATTCTCGGTCTGAGCCCAAACTATTACGTCACAACTAAATTCATTTCGGTTGACTAATTGAGAAAGTGGGATAACGTACCATACAAACCACAATACAAACACATTCGCGGCCAGTCGTTTTCTTTTCATCAGGTCTAAGAATGAAGGCTTAGTCTTATCCTTTTCTTTCAGAGTCATCTTCTTTCCATTGAGGCCCCGGTCTTTGCTTCCAAGTAAAGATTCAGTGAGGCTGTTCTCAGATTCCTGTTGTTTCTGTATGTTCTTGTAAACATTCAAAACTGTTTGATAGTCCTTACCGCTGATGCGAGCTGCTTTCTTGAGATTCTTAGTGACTTGCTTGGTCTTGTTGTTGGTGATCAACCAGGACAGAGACTCGTCCAGTAAGCTGGAATTGGTAGAATGAAAGTAACAACCATTACAGGTGTTCGGGGAACCATAATGCAATACATGTGCCTGTTGGAACAATAGATCTGTATCATTTAGCATGTCAGGAGTTCCTCTAATGAATAGGATCTCTTTCTGTTAAATTATACAATGTGTGACAATAAGAAGGGTCTGGCTGTCCTAACCGGTGTCGTATCTTTCCGTCATTCGACAGCAAATGTAAAATATGGTATGTTATCTGAACAATTGTAAGGTACTAGGGGACCGTTCATAATTTATGGCTAGGGGGATGACGATGATTTTAAGTAGGGGTGGGGTGGGTGGGTTTGTCACCCATTTTGTACATGACATGCAGGGGGTCACTTATGTACAAAATATGTAGGGTGGGGGTGGGTGGGTGGAGGTAATTCACATTCTACATGCATCCCCAGAAAAATCATCATCACCCCCATGCCATAAATTATGAACGGTTCCTAGGTGAAATGAAACATATCTAAGGCATGAACAGTTCATGTGTTAAGCAATAATAGTGAGTGAGTGAGTTTATATTTATCGTCACTTCGGCAATATTTCAGCCATATTGTGACGACAACAATTAATTATCAGTAAAGATCAATGCCATTAGAAGCTATAAAACTGTTTACGATGAACAGTAAAACTTCTAGTCTATCAAAGATACTAGCAAGTAACTAAAAACCTATACTATAATGCAAGACAATAAAATATATTCTATTCCAAAAAAGAAACGCATAAACAAGAAATCTGTTGCGAAAATGTTGTATTTTCAAACATGTATAACTCGTCCTGAATAGACTAGTACATGAACTTTTACATCAGTTTAGAAGAAGGCAATGTCTATACAACCAAGTGGATAATTTTAGATAACGGAGACTTAAGCGCGATGGTGACCACGTAGAATGGTCCCGACGTCGTGTCTCCTGGCTCTCAGTCCAATCTCTGTCAACCTGTTCCGTACAGTTTGACCGGATATCCTCCGAAGTCCAGGCACTCTGGCTGCTGTGCTCTCACACGTGGCAGTACGATCACGCAAATGTAGTACCCGGATGTACCGATCTTGGGCTGGAGTGGTGACTGGAGGTCTGCCTCAACGGGTCTGCCTGAACGCCATTTGTTATACCTGTTTGGATGTAACGAGCTGCAAGCAGTGATATCGTGCTCAGACTAACATTTAGACGCCTGGCAACAGAAAATTGTTAATCTCCAGCGTGCATTCTTTCAATGGCGATGTTCCGTGTCGCAGCGTCAACGCCTGGCATAGTGATTTGACCTTGAAACTCCTTCAAAACGAATGCCGATTTCCGTATTAATCTGGATTTTTATAGTCTGACAGTGCATGCTCTTTGCTGCACAATTCAACTTGAACGTGATTTATGTTGCGTTGTGGCGATGCCTTCTTAATTCTTGCAAGAAATCTCATCTAAATCAACATTTTCAGATAAAGTCGATTTTTCACTTGTGCAACTGTGTAACATCATGTTATCAACACGTTTGTTACATATTTTGACGATTGTTTGAACACAATTGGTAATTAATAGATTTTTTCAAATACAAAACGCCTATGCGTTTCTTTTTTTGGATAGTATATAAACGGGCTATAGATCACCAGCAACTGAAGGTAGATCACCATACCATGGGGACTTATAGTACTTATAGTACATGGGCTACCTGCATGGACCCTAGACGGATTTATATCATCCCCTCAGCCGCTGGTGATTGTAGTTAAATTTAGCCATAACTTAAAAACACAAAAATACTCCGTTCTCAAAATACGGTATGTTGGATTTACCTTGAATGTTTTGGAAATAACGTGGTGGCGCGTGGTCCTGTGCTTAAAGCTCAGGTCACAAATCGGTGAAGTTAAGCAGCGTCGAGCTCGGAGAGTCCTTGGATGGGTGACCGTGTTTGGCAGCTTGACTCCTGAGAGTTTCTAGGACTTGAGTCCTGCCCCACAACGAAACACATGTGGTCTCACCTTAGGCAAGTGAGTTTGTTCAAAATTGTCTCTGTTCACCCAGCAGGAAAATGGGTACCCGGTGGAAAAAAAGTCATATGACTATAACCTTCTAGCGCCTAACAGGCAGCTTGGGTTATCCGGGGTAATAATGGCCTTGGATTGTTAGCGCTATGAGCATACCTAGTGTGGAGTTTGGCGCTATATAAATGGACACATTATTATTATTCATTACCCCCACAGGAGGACAATAATTTAACAATACTTCAACCCCTGTGAGGATACAGTCACTCACAATCTCAGCTGCTAATCAAACTGCCAATAATAGAATATGTATCTATTTACAAATCATTTATCAAAATTTATGTAACAATTCAATTTCTTTTAAAACTGCAATAATTAAATGATGATTAACGTTAAAACGATCCTGAACTGTTTTGACATTATTTATCCCTTCTGATGAAAAAATCAACGCAGTCAAGCAGTGACTGTGATTCTCCCATCACAAGGGATACAAAACGGAGCATCTTCACCTTTCAATCAATACTCATGTGTATATCTTGTATGGCCAGTGCCAAATCGTCGCATGATGACCTCTTCAAATTTGGACTGACAACCAAAAGTAAGTGTAACCGATAGTTGGTCCCTTACAATAATAGTTCCAGTAGGGAATAATGGCGGTCCGGTGAGGATCAGGCAGCAGAATCAAGACATTACTGAAACGCTTTCAAGAAAAGGTAAATCGCGTTTTAGCAGAAAGCTCACAGAGGTGCAATTACTCACAAGAACTGGACGAAGACGTATAAGGACACAGAACAGTACACAAGCTGTGTAATTCTCCAGGAGTAGGTCTGCATCAGGTAGGCGATCAGGGCGATGGATGCGGTGCAAAACGTCCACATTATAGAGCCAAAGAGGCCACTCAGCTTCCGATGACGAGAGGGGAACATCTCAATGCTTATTGTCATTTTCGTCAATACTATTCCCTACAAAAGACGTAAACTTCATATTAAGTGGCAGAAGACATGTCATCTGAAGTGGTACTATTTCGTTTATGTTCTAATGCGTTAAGACCATAGCTTTAGAAGTGCCGATGAGTTACATTGAAGTTTCTGGTAATTCCTCCGAGTTAAACGCGAATGAGGAATCTATGATTTTGGCATGGGCATAAATAGGATCAAATTTACCTGTTGTACAAAACCCAAGAACACTCGTAATACAAGAAATACGGTGTAGGTAGGGGCGAAGGCGACGCCCACGCCCAATCCCAGAAAACAAAGGTGGGACAAGAGCTGCACAGGGCGGCGGCCATAATGGTCCGAGAAGACGGGAAGGACGAACGCTCCAATACCCTGCCCTATGATGAGAAGCGTCTGGGCAAATCCGCGTAAATGTGCTCTGTCACACACGATGTCCATCTGTAAATATGACGATGTAAATGTAGATGGCAAGAAAGCGGCGAAAACCACATTAAATGGTGACTGCAATCAGAATTACCGTTACTATATTGCAGTTGTAGCACTGAACTGTTCTCGTGTATGTTTTAACAAAAAGTTCCGGTAGTTGCAGCACTTGCCTATAATTGGAGTTATGAAAGTTAAGGCGAACACATTGTTGTAGCCTAAACTTTTACATAGACATGCAGTACTTAGACTTGTAATTACTATTCATGATCACAGTGGCTGTCTCCTAAAACATTTGTAAATCCTATACTTTAACAAAGACGTACAATAGCTGTAGCACTGAGACTGTTTTAACTTTCACACATTACAAATTCCTTAAAGCTGTTTCAGCGCTGAAAGTGGTATCTAAATGTAATGTTAAACCATAGCACAGGTTTTAATCACAATATTAACCTAATGGTCAGAGTGTTGTTATCAAATCTTTCCAAGCAAACTGAAAGGATTAAAAACCTTCAACTCACATCAGACATCAGCGAGGTATCTTTCCCTTCCACATACTCGTAACCATAGATACAGGACAAATCGGAGGTGGAGATATCGCCAGAAATGTTGGCTTCAACCCGTATGTTACATTTCTCAAAGTAGATCTTACTGTTGTTGGCTTGATAGAGTTCATTGTCAATGACGTGGTAGATATCAGATATATTGACCGGCTGTTTGCAGGTATGGGCCACATGTCTACCTACAAAACAAAAACACTGAAATAAAGAGTATGTAAATCCAATAATTTGGGTTATAATGATTGCACTAAACCTCTATAGTTCATGTTGGCGTCCAGCTGCGTCTATAGTATAATTCCAAGGAAATGGTTATTGTATGTCTCTATATTTCTGTATCCGGCAATAATCAGTGATGTTTGATGAGGTGCTAAGTGGCCAACATGAAGAATTCAGAGACTATATTTTGTCAAAGATATCAATAACAGGTATTCGTGTGAAGGAACTCTTGATTTAATCAGCGGATTTTAAGTACATAGTGATATTTAATGTTATTTATCGGTTAGTACTGACTGTCATCTAGGATCAATGTTCCCGTTTTAGATGCCATATCTGCTGCATCTTGATCGGTTATATAAAGTGGGGTGATGCCACAATTGCAACGATAACTGTAACGTGAATCCACGCATGACAAGGCCTACCATAAGTTATAATTAAAATCCCATTGCATTGTCCGTCTTAAAGTTAATTTCCAACACTAGAGAATCATCTGCCTCGATGATCTGCTGGATCGTATTCCAATGGGCGCGAGAGACAAAAAGCAACGAAATCAGATGACTGGATCACTGCAGAACATTGAATTGACACAAGATCTTTCTCAAACGGATACCAGACTGGTAGCACCCATCTTACACGAACCATTGCATCACTTAGTTAAACTTTCGATATTCGTGATTTAATCTGCTGATTTTGACAGTTTATAAATAAAACAGGTTTCCAGCTTGAGACAACAACACCTCACTCAAACACATCCCATCTGTTACTGTGACTAACAATGGAATATTCAGATGCTTGATGGGCATTTAGAAGTTGGAAGGTAGCATAACAACGTATGGTATGGATTTACAACGTCTTTGATATTTACAACACGACGTTTTTGGGCTAATTCTTACCCCTTCATGAGGTGAATATGATTACGAGCAATATATATAGTATGTACAGGAAGCCAGTGAGATAGTATAACAGAACTCTGTACATCTCAATGGAAACACATCACATAATCTCTGTACATAATGTGCCGCAGAGAGCCTCTTGCACTGGCTGCAACGCTCAGTTAGTTTACGCTGAACATTCAACGAGTGTGGGTCCAGCGCTGAACACAACAATCGCAACGGGTTTGGGTCCTGCGCCGAACACAATAATCGCAACGTTGTGGGCCAATCGTTGAAAACATTCGTTTGCACTTCTCAAAAGCTGGCCATTTCTTCTAATCCATAATGATCTCTCTGAGTAGACAACTACAGCGTTAAAAACGAGCAAATTGTCTTCTGTTAATAATGTCTCTACACCAAGACGATCAGGGAATGAGTTAACATGGGACTTGATGTGGTCACGTTCCGCGGAATCTGAGAGTGCACAGTCCATCAGTGATGACAGCCACGATGACTCCCTGGATATCTTGGGTTCTGATGTTTTCTGAAACTTTACTATTTCTATATTGTATGTTAACAGAGTCAGTTACACGTATGATGCTTGAGTATTGATAATGTTACTAAATACACATCAACATACCCACAAACACGATGTTGAGAAGCTGGAAGGACGCTGACAATGCCGACAACATACACACGAAGTACTGAAACAGCTGGTACCGTCCTGCACCTCCCAGTGCATCAAGAACCTGGTCAACTGAAGAAGTTTTGACTGCCATCCTTTCCCCTTATAAACCGCCGACTCTGCCACCTGTTCACTATGTCTGTGTTGTGTTCTATAGTTCTATTGCTTTAATATCATGCAGATTAATGAGTGTATCTGCGCATGTGTATGCCTGGTCACATTTCGTCTTTATTTCTCAAGTTAATTCATGTTGAAACACGTGTTCACCTAAGCCGCTATAGTAAGTGAGTTGGGAACCGATGACATGTGATGTGTCAACCAAGTCAGCGAGCCTGACCACCCGATCCTGTTGGTCGCCTCTTACGACAATCATGGGTTACTGAAGATCAATATTCTAACCCGGACCTTCACGGGTCGCCGCTATAGTGAGGGGTGGTGATGACAGATAAGACCATATATAATTCCCCTCTCCGTGTAGATGTCTCAGCCCTGCCAGGAAAGAAGTCATCACTCCGCTGTCATTTCCTTGCACAAACATGTCCACAACAGGACGGCTGGGAAAGAGTGAAATTTGCCGATTTTTCTGTCACCTATTTCTCTTTATGAAAACGTTTCCTCATGTACATTAAAAGTCGTACTTGCCACAAACCGTACTGGTACAAATTACTGCCTTCAATTCTCTAATTACCTGACATATATAAAAGCACCGGTCCGTTTCATAATAACAAGCAACATTACAGTATAACATCACAGAATAACCACTGATAAAAATAGAAAATGTAAAACACCGAATCAGTTTAGATCCAGATGGAGCAGAGAATAGACTGACACATCATCAAGGGATCAGGAATATTAGGGGGAGATTATTGTCAACTGCATGCTCGTTCTTCACAACAAAACAATATCCCCAAAATATGCATGTTTCCTAATATTTTTTGCTCGTCATATGTAGAAAGATGATTTAGAAGCTTTATCACTTTTTTTACCCACATCGTAGTCCCATATCGATTTTAGCGCCTTGATAAGCACTTCACTTATACCATTTCAAGACTATATTTTATCCAATCATTGAACAATTATCAGTTTTTCTCCAGAGCGTGTGGCTCCTGTTCACATGTTGTGTCAGATGATAGGTTTCACTGAGGTGCCACAAAACTGTTTCTACATCTACATCTTCATCTCTACCAGTGCAGTGGAGCATGCTACGTGGCTGGAAGATACACCCTGTTGATGTACGTCATCTAGTTTCTGTCAGCCTGAAACCACAGGAAAACAGACCAGTAACTAATACACTGGCAGAATGCAGGTAACTAAGTTATTTCAATAAATGAAATATTTCCGTTTAACAGACACTAGTAAATATAATTTGCACTAAAACTAGACATCTTCAAACAATACAGTAAACTTTTGGGTACTAAATAATAATTTGTTCACAACAGGTTGGAAAAGATATCTGTAAAATAAATATAATCTTGCTGATCATGCACAATCTTGTCTCGAATTATTACTCGAATTTCAATTTTCAGTACATCACATTCAAGTAAATAGTAATGATGCACTTAGCACCTGAGTAGCCTGAATGACCATGTTTACCCCTGTCTACACAAACGTTGTATAATATTTATAATATGTTCATGCTTTACATTTCATGCTGTACTATAACGAAAATTATGAAAAGTGAAGCAATATTGAGTCATCAGTACGTTATGAATAGTGGGGACAGTGGTTGATAGATTCAAATAGAACTTGAATCTAGTGACATTGGACGAATGCATTCGAAGTTTCACATAGTCTATTTCATGGACAAAAATACTTTGTGCAAACAAGTCTGGTGCAGTTTATATTCGACCATGAAGTTGGATCCATAATAGACACTTCTCGTTTCACGCTTTAGGAAATGGTACTGTTTTTACGCCATCTTGAAGTGTGTCTGGGTATCTGTCGTCCCTGTTACATAATCTTTGACTGCATCGTTTCACCATTCTTATTTTTAGGTCATTTGAGTGCCATAAAGTCAATTATTTATGCTCGGACTGAAACTTAAAATATGAGTCAGAGTATAATATGAACTGCTTTGTTTTTTACTAACACAACGATTCATAACGATTGATGTTTCACTCTTTCTTAATGGAGTCTGTTCCGTAGGAGAATCCGGACTGTCTATTTTCTTACGTAGACATTTGATTACTTATTGACGTAAATTATACTTTGGGGACAAAGCTTACCCTTAAGATTCGACAAGTCACTGGATTGAGAATGCATTTTGTTCACCCCGAATAACATCCGACTTAGTGTCCTGAGACCTGACCTGAGTCAATAGCAGTTTACATTTATGAGCACGGAAATCAGAAATGTAAAGTGATTAAAGCCTTTCCACATCTATTAGAAATCTCTGCTCAAGTCCATTGTATTAATCTGACTATGAGCATGTGTTTATGGATCACGATCAAACAGTGATGATACTATGCATTAATAATGGTATGCCTGCCCCACCAAGGTCACCTGTCATAAACAAAAGCTTAACTGAGGCCTTGAGAGTGGTAACCTTAAACCCTGATTGAGATTCGATTGAAGTCATATTTATCCCAACTATGTCACATATAGTTGTCGATGTTTGCTCTCAGGGGTGGTGACTCGGGGACTCAAGTAGGGTCAACAGGTCATCGGAAAGTGGCAAGAGCTTAATGGATATTTGGAGGCAGTAACGTGTATCTTACAACTTAGGCCGTCTACTGAAGTGAAATCTGTATGGTATCTCTAAAATTTTCCTTCTAAAGTTTCCAGGGGCGGTGGGGTAGCCTAGTGGTTTAAGCGTTGGCTCGTCACGCCGAAGACCCTGGCTCGATTCCCCACATGGGCACAATGTGTGAAGCCTAATTCTGGTGTCCCCCGCCGTGATATTGCTGGAATATTGCTAAAAGCGGCGTAAAACTAAACTCTGTCAGTCAGTCTTTCTAAAGTTTCTAAATCCAAATGCACTCGATGCATGGCCATTTGTCCTAACTACAAGTTTAGATATCAAACGCATAAGAAGCGAAAACCTTTGAATTTAAACGATTCCGAACAATCAGGCTTAAAAACGTGTTTGTGACAAACTAATTCATTTAGAACCAAATTCACTGCGAGAATGTTGCTTATATAAGTGTAATTGCCTTTGAGTTTTATTATTTTTGAAGACACCATTGTGTAATTACAAAGGCTGGAATCACCAAACTCTTGCTTATGTATTGCTTGAACTAGTTGGGTTTCGTACGAGGTTAAGTTTACACCCATTGTTTATACGACATGATAAAAATGGGATTTCTCTCTAATTTGTTTAATGTATCAATGTGCTTGAATGACATCAATCATGTGTAGTGTTACCATATATCGTGTCACCTATGGTGTTAAATACGTTTTTCAAATTTAATGTTAGTGACTTTAATATTAAAAGAGTTTTAGGGAAGACCGTTATAGTCCACTGCGTTTAATTCCAGTCAGTTTTCCAAATTAATGGCATAAGTTTCCACCACAAGTTACCAATTTGAGTCAGTCGCTCAAAATGTAAATGCAACACTTCCAATCGACAAAATTATATTGTCTGAATCAATATAAGGCGTTATGTGTTTTACATTTTTGCATACGGATCTGTCGATTTATGATTGCTAATACATAATTATTAGGGACAATATGAATATATTTCATTTTTCAATTTTTAAGTTCGAACGTCATACGGGATTGGGCATTTGTAAAGAATGTCATAAACTTGAAATCGTAGAATTGTGATCTGGTAATAGGATATCGGTCTGGAAAATGTCATCAGTGTTGTTCACAATAAGTTACAAGAAATTAATAATTGCTGAAAAGGCCACATTCTAAAGATGATTGAAATGAAACTGGAATATGACTACATCGGGTAAGCGATTTGATCAGACAATGCGGAGCTATTCAATAACAGGGACAAAGAAATTACTGATTCGTTTCGAAACAGTTCGTTCATATTTAATAAAGGACTGATTGCGATTTCTGCCACTCTTGATGCCTGAGATACAAGTAACAAATTCCCTTGTTCCTATCACCGTGCACTGTATTAGACATTGACTTACGTATTTCTCTTTGCAAAGTCACGTCGTCCATAGTTATGTCATGGCAATGTATAGTCATGTTCATGTCAATATGTAGTGTATTAAAGCATGCGAATGCATATGCGTGCTGATTTATCGAATAGGGCTAAAGTGTGACTAATATATTATGTCGTCTCAGGTATCAAGGATAAGAATATATGGATGAAAACTACTTTATTACAATAGGAGCTAATTTACTAATAACATGGTGATCTCAGATACATCCCCACCTTTAAAGGTTGAAGACAAGTTGGCAATACTAAAACGAATATATATCTGATTTTCAGTGATCTATTCATATAAGTTTCACCGCATTTTGTGTGTTACCATCACTGGACTGATGAATAGTGGACCATTGCTCAGGGAAACTTACAGATAAAGAGCAATGCTTAAGTCTTTACCCTTGCAGCGTGACGTTGGTCGTCGATTCAACGAAACACCATTTGACACTTATATCTATTTTCAGCAAAACAATCAAATTATTGGACGACCCCGTAGTGGTCGCCAACCAGTAACGACCCTACGTCAAGACCGATGGATTCGAACCGCGCAGCTCCGACACAGGTTCCAGCCAGCTGTCCTTACAACCCTTACCATACCTAGAGGTGTATCTACGAGAACAATTCGAAGACGCCCACGCGGCGTCTACACCAAACGTGCAAGAGGTCTGGCTGTTCTACCGGTATGGGAGATAGCGGCCGACATCAATACACTCTCGCCAATATACCTGTCCACTTCCCGTAGGCAGTTTCCCCACGACGTTGTCAGTAAAATATTTTTTAAAAATCGTTATTAAATCATCATTAAACCAAACACGTCTACATTGCTGTCGTGGACATACTCTATGAGAAATTCCAATTTTGTATTCATTTTGTATGACCTGATTTTTAGGGAAAACCTGATCAGCAGGTTTACCAGTCATACAATTCCTAATTATTAGTTATTACGAAGCATACAACTTTATATTTATGGAAAACAACATTGTTCTTTATCTATAAAGTTGCATG